GGTGTTGGGTCCGGTCTCTAGCGACCCTGGTTGCGAGAGAGACGTAGAGCTCCTTCGGAAGTCCTTTGACGAAGTTGGCGTGGAGGGTGTGGTAGTCGTTCTCGGTGCGGTTGACGCCATTGACTTCGGCGTCCTTGAGCTGGGCTTTCGATGCTAGCTGCTCAAAGCGGGTGACGTAGTTTCCGAGGGAGAGCGCCGTCTTCCTGTTCTTCTGTCGTTCGGGCAGCTTCATCAGGATTTGGTGCGCCTTGATTCGCGTTCCGTGCTCGGGAAACGCTTCCTCAAGGGCAGTGGCGAAGGCTGCCCAATCGGGATAGACCTGGACTCCCCCTGCCGACTTCTCGTAGTATGCGTCTGCCCATGTCTTCCCTAGGTCCTTCCTCATCAACGCTACAGTGAAGGCGATCTTTGCTTCATCGCTGAGTCGGGTGTTGTTGGTGGCGATGAAGTAGGAGAGGATGCATTGGATGAAGCGTCTGAGGTCCTCCGCCTTTCCACTGAAAGGTTCGGGAGCGGGGATGTCAAGGCGAAGGGGTCGGTTGGCGGTTGATTGCTGGGATTGGTATGCTGCGAGGGCGACAGCGATGCGCTGATCGATGTCTGCTTGAGTGAACGTTGCCATAGGGACTTCAACCGGTGCGTTGGTTGGTGCAGGTGGAGCTGGTGGTAGTTCTGGAGCCTCGATGGGAACGTACTGAACGTCCGGGAGCTCAAACGGTTGTTCGTTAACAGGTGACTGTAGGTTCTCTGTTGTTTGTGCTGGTTCGACGTTGATTCGTAGGATGGCGAATACGTCTTCTGGGTGAGCGGGAGGGTGTCTCTGGTAATAGCTGACGAGCTGTTGGTGGGCGACGATCTGCGGGTTGGAACCTTCTGCGCGAACCCAGGAGCCACCTCGAGGATAGATGGGAGTCCTTCTTGTGGAGGTGACGAAGCAGCGATCCGCTCGGTCGTACTGGAGGAGTGGTGATCCTGCGAGGGCTGGTAGTCCCAAAGGAACTGGGTTGACTGCGTTGTTCGACGTGATGGTGGATGAGATGTTCGACTAGGTAAAACTAGGAACGTAGCTTAGAAAGTTCGACCTTTTGATACAACGGTCTGTACTCCTGTATTGATGCCTGACTCGTAGACAACGAGCGAGGACTTATGGACAGTGCGTCGTCCTGAAGATCGAGCGAGGAAGTCGAGAATGACCACTACCCCAAGTGAGGAGGAGCAGAGACTTGAATGAATAACCAGGTCGAACTTAGGGTTCGACCGACTAATGGTACAACTACTTATACAAGTACCGACTGCGCGCGGACCATCGTGTCTATGTGGTCATGTTAGTGAAGAAAGAAATGTAGTGGTACGATACCAGGCACGAAGTGCGCACGGACCCCATTATGTAAGCTACATAATGTTCAACCTGCGGGTGAGCGCTAAGACAGGCGCCAGTATGGGCGCTAGTAGTACAAGGAATAGAACGGAAAGACAAATGTTTCAGAAACACCAGCAGATTCAACAGTGCGCCTGCTTGTTCAACATGGATAAAGACCTTTTCTGTGACAAGATCGAGTTCTGTATTTGTCATCTCCCAGGTGAGACCACTGTTGTTGAGATCGGGGAAGTGTTGCATCAAGACGTTCTCGGACATCTTGATATCAAGTATGCGAGGATTGATTGGCTCGCACAAATCACTACTGACCTTGAGAACAAGATTCTTTCTTGAAGACTTCCCGGAGTTTGCTGAAGAAGTACTTTGCGCGGATTCCATTCGAATGAAAGCTCCAGTCCAAACTCACCTCTTAGCATGTGAAACCGGAGTTTGAGAGTTGGAATATGTGATGTTAGGACTTGAAGGAGCCACAGCAGTGGATTCGGTCTCAAGATTTGCAATGTTGGCCTGAGTATGAGAATCAAGAGGTCGCAACTCTAGTACTTGCCCAATGAGTTTGATCCCCGCAGCAGCATGCCGAAGAGTGTCATTCTTGATGGTTACAACATGTAGGCCCTTTTCTTCGATGGCGATAGAGCGTAGAATTGCAAGGGTGACAATGTTATCTGTAGTGCGCACAAGTGTAGCAAACAGATCACCTACTGCGAACACATCTGGATCAATGAGTGAATTGGAGTTATAGTTGCGTGGTTTCTGCTCTGATGTGAATGTGCGCACACGAAAGACACGTTCATGTGGTTTGCGAGCATATTGTGGTGTTATGACAAGTCGGCAAATGGATGCCTTGTGAATCTTCTTGTTGTTGACAGTGAGCCATGGCGACACATCACCGAGTTGCACTGGAGCTGGCAGGCGCTGTTCTTCAAGTGCTTCAATGATGTCCTCGACATCCACTCCATCAGCATCCGCTTCCTCTGTGTCCCATGGTGGCAGAGATATTGCAGCTAGCTGCTCGTCATCTACTTCCAGCACAACACCAGAAGGAGCATCCACCTCCAATGATGAAGTTGTTAAAGTTCGTCCGAGACCCGAAGCGAGAACGATCAACAAAGATATATCGCGTTTGTCTGAGCTCTGTCAAACGCGTAAGGAACATACAGGACGGCTCGCGCAAAGTCTGCGAGGTACTACAAACAATGCCAAATACGGTGGCATGCGCTCGCCACAATCTCAAGTTCCAACACACCCCCTCGAGCGCAAAGCCATCGTGAGAGCAATACATGAGAATGAACCCATACCGTGCACCCCCTCAATCTGACCATGCACCCCCTCAACCAATGAGCCATCCAGATCCCTTGGATTCTGCCCGAAATTCCGTGTGACCCCCAACCGGGTCGAACAACGATGCCTCCGAGGAGGACTTCCTGCCTCGAGCAGGGACCGAGGACAATGCATGCGCCAACCAGACGACTTACAGCACTCGCAATCCTTCCCGGGCCCCTCTCCTGCCGTCTGCGCCCACCTCGTCGCCTCTGCCAATCCCGCCGACCGCCCGACCTAACGTTCACTCCGGCAAGGATCCGCTGTCCCCCCGGCTCACGTCCCGGACTTCTTGACCTAGGTCGCCGACCTCTGACCTGCGCTAGTCCCTCGGCCTCGCTGACCTTCACCTGGCGCATCCCTGGCTCTGGGCTCTGCCGCGCACCTATTCCTGGCCTCCGATTCGCAGCTGTCGTCGATCGTGCGCATCGAACTGCGACTTGTGGTGCCTCGCGACGGTGAGGACTTTGAACAGTGCCCGCCAGTCTTCTGCGGGGCTTCGATAATCGAGGATCGTCGTTGATCGCCCAGGGAGTCGCCCTGGCGCGATCGTCGAGAACAGCGCGTTCTCCACTTCGATGGTCCCGAGACTCTGGCTTTGGTTAGCGGTGGCCAGCCGCGACGCGTTTGTGTTAAAGTTCGTCCGAGACCCGAAGCGAGAACGATCAACAAAGATATATCGCGTTTGTCTGAGCTCTGTCAAACGCGTAAGGAACATACAGGACGGCTCGCGCAAAGTCTGCGAGGTACTACAAACAATGCCAAATACGGTGGCATGCGCTCGCCACAATCTCAAGTTCCAACAGAAGTCTGTGAGGATGCCATAGTACTTACACATACCTCTGAGTCTGTCTGCTCACAAACTTCCACAGTATCGGTTACATTGATATCGACTATTGTTGAGGGGTCACTTGTTGAAGCAGAAGCTGCTGGAGTGATCATTATCAGTTCTAGTGACCTGTCATATTCCGTAGACATGTCCGGGTACTTGCCATCTCCAAAGGGCTTCAGCATATCAAGAATATGCTCGCCATTGAAAAGATCATCAAAGTCGATGTTGTGCATATTGATGCTTCGGAGAGCATCAATAGCAGCTGTTCTCCCACTCATCCATGCAAAGCAAAGGTCTACGTGATTGGCAACTGCATCACCTCGCCAAGATTCAGGGTTAAGGTGATCAGCTTGCTGTGCCGTGTTCACTTTGAGATGACGGTGGCCTTGATTCCATGTTGGGTTTGCAGACATAACTGCATCCAAGTCCATCGCAGCTCCTAGTCGATCAGTGAGTTGCTTGTACGTGAAGTTCGGGTTGTGTGCACCAAGCATCCGGAGTAGGCCAAAGAGCAGCTCAAGACGATCAGTGCCACTCAAAAAGAGATAGAGACATTGATGCCCATTGAGAAGTTGTTGCTTGGCAGTGTTGAAGTATTGGGTCTTCACCGAGGCTTGGCTGTCACTATATAACTGGTGCGGCATGAAACTACCACGACCATCACAGAATAATACAAAAACAATGTGTACATACTTGCTTAGTGATGTCAATTGTTGTGTGAGAGACCAGTCTGGATGTATAAATGCGTCCATGAACGCAGATAACATCTCACCTACGGCACCTAGAATACGGATATCTTGATGGTCTGCCGGTGTGCATTTGTCTGTTGGATATGTTCGGATGGCTGTTATAGCTTGTATGAACTTGAGTGCTTTTGGGACATCCTGAGCATCGGCAGGGTTGAGCATGTGTTCTATATCCAGGTCTGACAGGTCTGGGCTTCGCCGTAAGTGACGAAACAGTGATTCCGGATTGATCACAGTGTCATTGACAATCATGCCTTCTTGAGTACGTAATAAGCGTCCGAAACCTACGAGTTCTCGTGTCAGTAGATTCAATAAATCAGCATTAGTAAAGATCCGCTCACGTTTGATTATATGCTTCCAATCAAAGTCTACTGTAATGTCAGTATCACCAACACACAGGTTAAGACCTGGTAAATGCCCCAGATATTTGAAAAGCTTGTGAGAGGGCTTGATTGTGTGCCGCATGAACTTTTGATATGCCATAACCCGCCGACTGGCATCACCATCGGTCGCAAATGACCAGATTGGGCCAAGATCATTTGCATAAGTCTCCTGCCATGCGTCAAGAATGTTCTGGATTAGTATACCAGAGTCTTTCGGAGATTCGGATTTGCAGGTCGGCGAGATCAGAACTGGGTAAGCACCACGATGATCAGTGTCGAATGATGCCATAGCAATCACAGAAGCTTCCTTTCCGTAATGCATGACACCACTATCGAGCCCTTCTGCAAGCGAGACCGCATTTTCAAATGTCGTGAGACGAGTGTTCACAAGGTGCGAATGTTCGCGACAAAAGCCACCCACAGCATCGGCATGTGGGAAGTAGCAGGCGACCTCTTCTTGACTGACTTCATCCCAGAGCACTGACATTCCTGAGCGGAATGGTTTGGGAGCAGCGGGATCAGCGACCTTTGGCCCGAACAACTCACGCATATTGAAAATAGCGTCCTCTTTGGTTGGTATACCGAGGCTAGGCATGATCCGCTTGAAATGCTTCTTACACCTGAGAGTCCGTATTGACGGAATGCCGATCTCTTGACTGAAGGCATAGATGAGTCCTTGCCCGCCCAAACGATAAGCCAGTAATGCAAGATCCAAATCATTTGTGTCGAAGCCTTTGGCCTTATATACCCCGTCAAAACAATCCTCTATCTTGTTCACAATCTTGCGAATGCTTGTTTTGTGTTTAATCGCCTGTCGGATGAGCTGGCGCAACCGTGGAACATCCTTTCTCGCAAGTGCCATTGTGAAGCGCTGGTGATCGTCAAGCTTTTGCATGAACGAGCCACAATTCCGAGCGAGATTCAGAGTCTGTATGTTTCGCGTTTTAATGCTTGTTCAATTGAAATTTATTTGCGCTTACCTTGAGCTTCCACACCTTGATTGTTGCATCTCGATGCTCAAGCAGCTTGCAAAGTTGCTTGTGGTTGAGGTAGCGGTGATTCGTATGCGGCGCTGCATGTTCAGCAAGTCTAGCGATCCGGTCAACCTCCACCAGGGCTTGCTGGCAGCGAATGCATGGTGAAGGCGCTGACAGAGTGGCTGATGCTCGCAGACAGTCATTGGCTCTGATCCTGAAATGTCTACCATTGTTTTCGACAGAATCAAAGTGGTATCCGAGATTTTTGTCAAAATTATGACGCTGGAATGGGTAGGTTTCGAATACATCATGGCCGGGCCAATCAAGCAGCACGCCGGGGCAGGGCAGTCGATCCCGTATGCCTTTGTTTTCTCTACCCAGTGTTCTCGACTCATCACTATCACTTGATGACAGGTGAGCGAGCAGGAGTCTCAAAAATAAAGTGCAACTTACGAATCATTGTTATATAGCTCTTCGACCTCTAATGGTGTCAGATGGACCCATTGCATGTCCGTCGATGCTACAGCAGCTTCTGTCGGAGTCAATCGGGTCTCAGAAGATACTGAAAGTGTCACCGTCGCTGCGGAAGTAACCACTTGAGACGGCACTTGCATCTGAGATGTCTGCGAACTGCGTGGTATGGGAAACAGTACCTCCCGTACTTGACAAGCCAGCTCAGCTTCTTTGGTGACGTTCTGGGCTTTTACGGCACGCTGACAGTTACGGCTGCCAATGTGTGACTGCAGAGGTCCGAGATTGTTTTTGACAGAACCAGTGGAGACCCAAGTCGCGCATTTGGGGCATTGAACCTGAAGTTGTTGGCGGCCAGCTGATGATGTACGCCAGTTCAGATTCGCCGCGCTTAAAGTCAAGGATGAGCGCGCAGTATAAGGAGTAGATACCGGAGCAGCAGCTTCGTGTTCAAAGAATTGTCCGAGCGAAATCGACGAGAGAGTATCTGATGTCAGAGTCAATGAAACAGGTGCCGCAGAATAGCTGTTGTGCATTGCGTGGGTGTTCCCGAGTATCGTGGAAGGAGTAGTTGCTCCAGAGCCAGAAGGAAGCGCAGATTGGTGGCGCTGTGATGATGACCGAATAAATGGTACATAGGAACCGTTTTGAGTGGCCTGACCAGCAAGGCCACTAGTACAGTTTTCTGTTGAGGAAGGATCACTGGGAATATACATTTGAGCTTTATTTACGCTTCCAGAGATGTTGTTCGACTCTGTATTCCCAGAATGTGAGTTTATATCAAGAGAGTAGACATCACCCAGAGAGTCCGGGTCAGTGGCAGACGACGAAGTCGACAGGTGCAAGGAAGCCGGATAGCTCGAGTTTCCAGAAGTAGATAGCATTGAATAAAAGCAGATGTTTTCGTCACTATCTTGGGACACCGTATCAATATAGCAATGTAGTTTAGCAATTGTTGAGCGAGAGTGAAGAAGGCCGACTCGTGCATAGCGCGACGCGCTCTTGAGCAACACGTGTCACGTGCCCGCGGCCACATACTCTGGACACAGGACAAACATATCCGATAGCGGCTTTCCACAGCAATATAAAATTTGTTTCTTCTCGTGGAAATACGGTAATATTCAATGTCATTCACATTCCTGAGTGCTAGGAGAATAGGGAAGGTTCTGCAGGCGTTATTCAGAGATTCAGCGAAAACGGCGCAGAGATTGAAATCAGGCCCCCCGGACACCGGGGGGCTATCCTCTTCTCAGGTGGTGGGTACCCCCGATCGCAATCTCGCCCGCCTCTTGGTAGATGCGGTGATGTAAGTATGCCTGTATCGGTAGTGTATATGTAGAAGGAAGGAAGGAAAGAATCGTGTTGGTTCAAGCGCCCTCAAGCGCCCAGTACATGCAAGCGCTCATGAACTTCAACTCTTGGCTGCAGCGGGAATTCCGCTATCGACAATCTGTATTTCCACTCGCTTGTAAACGTTCAAGTATAGTTGATAATCCAGCGACAGACTATGTGGCCCTAGCGGCACCACCCATACGCCTATGTATGTCATATTTATTCCTCCGCAACGACGATAACACTCTTCCCCTTATTCTTTCCTATCTGGACATCCACGATTGCCTCACCGACGGCCTCCAATCCATGCTTGGCGTCCTCCTTGTACTTTATCTCTCCGCACGCTACTTTCTTCGGGATCGTGCCGTATAACTCGTCGATGTGCTTCTCATGAAGATAGAGTACAATGAAGCCAGACAGCGTCAGCGTCTATGCACGATGAGCATCATGTTCTTGATGTGATATGGCTCGCTATTATATCCCGAGATCATGCCACATTCCTGTGGACGAGACAGTGTGAGCAGCTGCAATGATAAACAGCACACAGGGAAATGTGACGTACGATAAAGCGAGCACCCACTGCAGCGGCGCCTATAGCAGCCTCGAGTATCTCACCACTAACACCATCCCAGTAACTGAAGCACGCGCGACACTGTCAGTACCGTAACATCAAGAACGATTCATTTACTAGAAGGTGCACATGTTGATCGTGCCTTCCCACTCAAGCACCTTGGCCGTACTTTCTTTCTTATAGTTGAAGGCGATGTCCGCACCGATCGACCTGATAAATTCAACCTTCTCATCGGTGCCTGCCGACGCAATCACTTTGCAGCCGTCTGCTTTTGCGAGCTGAATGACCGTTGCGCCGACGGGTCCTGCAAGTGTACGCAATTGTATAAGTGGCATGGAAGGCTGGGTAGAAGAACACTCAACGGACCTGCAGCGGCGGACACAAAGACGACGTCACCCTACAAATGCATGAACGTCACAGAACCCACCGTCAGCATTAACACGCCTCAATACCTTCTTGGGGTGCGCGTATTCCGCCCACCCATGGTGAGCTGTTTGGCCTGTGATGATAAAGTACGGTCAGTCTCAATTATGGCTTTAGCCATAGCATACGGGTGACACTTACCCGTCATCTCACATACTCCGACGTATGTTGACCACGGAAGGTTCTCAGTGTTCTTGAGCACACGCATCTCGCTGGTGTCGCGCGCAACCCAGTACTCTTGGAATGCTGAAAGGACCAATATCTCATCAGCGGCTAGTCGCATTGTACATCGATAGGCTTACGGAACGAGTGCCAGTAAATGTGATCTTCGGCTTGAAGCCATCGTTCTCCGAGCGGAAGACGAGGCCGACACCGTAGTTTTGGATCCTAGACAGGATGATGTCAATATTTTGTCTACGCTGTCTAGTTTCAAACCACAGAACTCACGGTTCTCCCGTGATGTAGGCAGGCTGGAGGGACATGTTAGCAAACTGATGAAAAGTGGCACTCAGAAACATACCGCATATGACTTGATGCTCGTATCTCTCATCCTTCCTCGCATGTACGGGTCAATGGAGAGGACAAGGGTCTTGACCAGGAACCCGCCATCTAGCGGGACGGCGTCTGGGTCGATCGTCTGTGAGGCATCGTACACGGTTGTTTGTCCGGGAATAGGCAGTCCAGAGGGTATCTCGTTGAATAGGACACGCGCATTCGTAACAGGGGCCATCCCTGCAGGTGACAAGATGCAGGGAAGAGGTTCGAGGATGCGAGGAGTTCGGTGTCGTGAGTGTTAGGAGCTGGAGCAACATTGCGCGGCGTATTTATATGTATGCAAGCGCGTGGATCGCACACAACTATCGGCGGCTTCGGGGAGTTCAGACGGGAGTGCTCGGTCACTTCGCCAGGGCACTGTATCATGTGTACCTTCGGCCTTCTGGGTGGATAATCTGGTTCGCAGATCGGCATTTCCCCGAAGCTCCATCCTTAAAGACATACAAAGAGATACCTTCTACGCCTCGTCGTGAGGATAAGTTAGCAGGACATCTGCAAATCACTATGCTGCAGAATGGTATTCTGGTGCAACCCTAGGATGAAACATCAGGTCCCGCAGGGCACAAGCGATGCCAGTACGCACCATCGAAGCCCGCGACACGCGAGGTCCCGGGTTCGTGTCTGACCTCCAGACGTCGTCGCCCGACCCGCTTAGCATTCCGCTGAGCATGGTAGTCGGCCCCCAGGTGAGACAGCATACATATTCGTTGCAATTTTACAGCGAGCAGGTTTGAATTTCACCAACTGCGGGATGAGAGGTAAGAAAATAGCTCTAAATAGGTGCGGCCTGCAGGCGCTCGAAGAGACAGGCATTCCGACGTCAATGTTTCAACGCCACTGTTACAAGCATCGTGTAGTCAAACCAGGCAAGGAGGCTTCACCGGTCACAGGTGGCAGCACATTTTGATGCAGTTGCCGCTAGACGCCCATTGGACAGGCGCTGTCCACAGCGCCTGTGTCCTTCGTTAAGTTCGAACATTACGGAGTCACGGCATAAAATGTTATAGGCAAGAGTCATACATGCTGCATCAGCACGCTTATGGGTATCACAACTTGAACATGTCCCAACTTACAGCCTCCAGTAACATGCTTAAGAGTGTTCATATACCGATTACATCGCAGAGCGCAATGCGCTTGTTGGGCTACTTATACAAGGGCCCATTTCATCTTTATTGTTAAATAACAAATAACATACTCACTCCTGCGCGACCACAATCACGCTCTTCCCCTTGTTCCGCCCCGTCTGCACGTCGACGATCGCCTCGCCCGCGTGCTCCAGCCCCAGCTTGCGGTCCTCGAGGTACTTGATCTCCCCGCGCGCGACCGCCGCAGGGATCTCGCGGTAGAACTCCGCGAGGTGCTTCGCGAACAGGTCCATCACGATGAAGCCCGATATCTTCAGCTGCTTGCCCACGATGAGGACGAGGTTCTTCACATAGTACGGCGCCTGGCCGTTGTACGCGGAGATCATGCCGCACTCGATGAAGCGCGCGCGCGGCGCGGCTGCGTCGATCGCCGCCTCGAAGGTCTCGCCGCCGACGTTGTCCCAATAGCTGTGTAGCTCGCAGGTCAGCCATGCGCCGCACGCCATGCCAGCATAATCGGAGAAACGCACATGTTGATGGGGCCCTCGCGCTGGAGTACGTCGGCCGTCTTCTCCGTCTTGTAATTGAAGACGACGTCCGCGCCGAGCGACTTCATGAACTCGACCTTCTCGTCAGAGCCGGCGGAAGCAATCACCTTGAGGCCGTCCTTCTTAGCCAGCTGGATGACGGTCGCTCCGACAGGGCCTGGACACATTCATTTGTGGGCAAGACGCTATCTCAGGAATAGATGCACCACGCACCTGCACCAGTGGTCACAAAGGCGACGTCACCCTTTTGCGGGTGAGCGAACTCCCTCCATGCATGGTGTGCCGTCTGACCTGTCGTCGCATATGACCATTAGCACCTGCCAAGTCCTAACTAAACTGGGAGACGATATACCAGGCATGCCACAGACGCCGACGTATGTGGACCAGGGGAGGTTCTCCTTGTTCTCAAGGACGGTGAATGCGCTCGCGTCGTTGGCGACGAAGTACTCCTGGAAAACTGCATACAACCTCGTAGTCGGCACGTCTGCTTGACGAGGCAAAAAACAGGAAGAAGACGTACGGAAGGCATGCGAGTACACGTGACTGCCGGGCTTGACGGCGGCGTTCTCGGAGCGCAGGATGACGCCGACGCCATAGTTCGAGAGACTGTAAAGAGGGACGTCAACAGTCCGCCCAAAATTGCGTCGAAGGTGATCAGAATAGTATTCAACCTGCCACTATGAGGCAGCAGGTCGTGTGAAGCAAATCTGTAAACCACATAGTGTGCCTTTCGGGCAAGGGGAAGCGTCGCGGATCATGGCGCCTGAGGGGTTGGACCCTTCCAGATTGATGATCTCGCCCGATTAGCCTTCCCCAGAGCGCGCAACAGTATTGCATATGATGTCATGTGCACGCGGCAAGTAGGAAGCGAACCACAAGACGACTGAGGACGTTACGCGAGAGCTTGGGAACACGAGCAAGCGATGAATATTACCACTCGATGCGCTTCACAACGCTCAAAGCGTCCGCGGGCCGAGTGACGGTCCGCGTGACCACCAGACCGATGAGCTAAGCTGGACATGACACTCACGGCTCTCCTGTGAAGTACGGGGGCTAGGGTTGTCGTCTTAGCGCATGCTCAAAAGACCTGTGTATGCAAACGCACCGAGTAGCTCTTAACGCTCGGATCCCTCATCTTGCCCCGCATATAGGGATCGATGGAAAGGACGAGCGTCTTGACGAGGAAGCCGCCGTTGAGGGGGACGCTGTCCAGGTCAATCGTCTGCGAGGCATCGTACACCGTCGTCCGCCCGGCTACGGGGAGACCGGTGGGGATCTCGTTAAAGAGCACACGTCCGTTCTTGACTGGAGCCATTTGTTTGATTTGGAAGTGTATTCGCAGCGAGGGGGGAAGAGGAGGATTGGAGAGACGGGGGCGAGCAGAACGAGACTTTATAAGGGGCGGGATGGGGGATTACGATCGAGCTGAGCGTCGCCCGCCTTACTCAGCCTTTCGAACTTGCCCGAAGTCCGTTCCGTATTCTTCGCGTGCGCGCCAGATGACGCAGCAGAATCCACTTACGTGATCCATCGCCGAGTGTTTTTCCCGTCTTTTGCACGATGATTCCGGCTAAGACTGGCGGTAGGAATGAGAGGATAACACGTGCGTAGATGGACAGACTGGTCCCGATCCAAACGCAGTCGCAAGTGTTCGAGCCAGTTGCCGCAACAAATAAGGTTTGAGGCCCGGAAAATGCCGGCACATGGTCGTCCTCGTGGCAGTTACAACTGCGTGCAAGCAATTCCTGCGACAAAAAAGGGGTCGTCTGGTCCCTTGACGATGTAAATCGCAGGAAGCAGTATCGTCTTGCTGGAAATATGAATACACGTGGATCTCCTACTTATTATCGGCCACTGAATTGGATCATCGCCTTATAACTCCTCCGTGGGCCGCGGCTCGCACTGGTGAACCCATCATTCCTCTGCAACGAGAACCACACTCTTGCCCTTATTCTTCCCGGTCTGCACATCCAGTATCGCATCACCAGCCTTCTCCAGCCCACGCGTGATGTCCTCATTGTATTTGATCTCCCCGCGCGCGACCCGCGCAGGCACCTCGCTGTAGAACGCGTCCTGGTACTTGTGCTTCAGGCGGTCGACGAGGAAGCCCGAGAGCGTGAGCTGCTTCGCGAAGATCTGCGAGAGGTTCTTGACGTGGTAGTCCTCCCCGTTGTACGACGTGATGTACCCGCATTCCTAAGAGGAGCACCCCGTGTGAGCTGAGCGCCGCGCGCAGGTGGGGGCGACTCACGATGAACCGCGCATTGTCTGTGGCGGCCGCGATGGCGGCCTCGAGCGTCTCGCCGCCGACGTTGTCCCAGTAGCTGAGGGAGTCAGTCACATGCGCGCCACGGCTGCGAGGGCGGGTAACTCACATGTTGATGGGCCCCTCTCGCGCCAGCACGTCCGACGTCTTCTCTGTCTTGTAGTTGAACACCACGTCTGCCCCGAGCTCTTTCATGAAGGCGACCTTCTCGTCAGAGCCGGCGGATGCAATCACTTTAAGGCCCTCGGCCTTCGCCAGCTGGATGACGGTCCTGTGGGGATATGAGCGCTCTGCAGGAAGACACGATCGGATGTCTTGGAGAAGACGCACGCTCCCACAACACCTAAACAGTCGCGACTCATTAGACGTCGAACAATTCCGGATATGCTCATTACTTACCGGCCCCAGTTGATATGAAGACCACATCGCCCTGTTTGTGATACGTCAGTGAATGAACAGGAAGAGCGCCGGGCGGCATGAGTTGCGTAATTGCATACCGGGTTCGGCTTCGCGTGTTCTTTCCAGCCATAGTATGCAGTTTGGCCTGCAGATGAAGACTCCTTCAGCACAGCCCCAAGAGCCCGCTCGGGTATCTGCGTACCTGGCATGCCACACACGCCGACGTACACGGACCACGGCAGCTTCTCATTTGGCAGCGTCATGCGTATAGCCGCATCCTTGGACAGGAAGTACTCCTGAAAGGCTATATGCGCGGCTCCGGGATGAGGCGCATCTTGGAGGAGGCAAATTGCCACCTACTCACGGAAGTAGCCGTAAAGATGGTCGCCAGGCTTTATAGCAGGATCTTCAGACCGCAGGACCACGCCAACTCCGAAGTTGTCGAGCCTGGGAATTGAACGGGATGGTTGGGGGGTGTCACGCAAAGCAATGACGTAGGATCAAGTCACTCACGGTTTGCCCTTGATGAAGGCAGGCTGCCGCACAGAGTTCCGTTAGAACACAGTATCTCTGACGCTGTGCGATACGCACCGCATAGCTCTCAATGCTCGGGTCTCGCATCCTGCCTCTGAGGTAAGGGTCAACTGACAACACGAGGGTCTTGATCAGGGCTCCGCCACGAAGCGGTACATTCTCGAGGTCGATAGTCTCTGATGTGTCGTAAATGGTTGTCTTTCCGGGCTCCGGCAGACCTGACGATTCGATGGGTGGTGAGCACACCGCGACCGGCTCACGAGATGACCACAGTAAGACGACGACGGACCTGACGGTATCTCATTGAAGAGAAGACGAGCGTTGGTAACAGGTGCCATGAGTATATTCCGAGGGTTACGTGTCGAGGCGGGAAGTGCGAGGCTTCTCCCGTTGGACCGTCATCCCGCCTTTTATACCGACCCGCCAACCGCCCAGCCGACTTAGTAAGGCTCGCCACAGATCTAGAGCATGGCATTGGTCATCTAGATCCGTTGTGCAGAAAGCATTGGCGGGCAACGTACACCCGAACTGATCACGATCGCAGGCCCGATTAGTGACGATCTTGGACGTCATAGACGGCGCATCGGCTACCAACTTCCCCCGGGTTTGCAGATTGTGAGGATGATCAAAATGGGCCAAAGTATGCCTCCTGTAGCAGATTTGATTTATGGCCTTTACAAGCGCGGAGGATGGTCATGTCAACTTAAGTCAATAGCTCAGGTTTACTTTGAAATGCGCCCTCGGCACTTTACTCTCACCGGCCGATGGCCGGCTGTTCGCCTCACTGCGTGCAAGGATCAATCTTCTTGTTCAAAAGATTGAATTCAAATTAGAAGTGAATGGTCCATATAAGTTTTATCAAGGAGGAGATTGGTCGAAACACAAGGGAAGATTACAGCGCTTTCCGAAAATTTCGGATTGAGACGCTGAACTTGGCGCTTATATCACGCGCCTGAGTCCCGATTAGGCCCATGGTCCTTTCCCTCTACTAGCACGTCGTACCCATCCCTCTCTTGACCAGAGCCCTCCAAAGTATGATATGATAGCTATGGATGCTTTACATATGATGGCCTATATATCAACGCTGTCGGTCAATGTTGCGCAGACCCCCTGTTATCTAATCTAGTACGGAGATCTCATGAGTTTCGCATTATCTGCCTCATTAGGCAATCCCGGATGTCTCCGCGTCTAGATGTACAAAGAAACTAAAATGGCGTAACCCAAGGTTTTCGGAAAGCGCTGTAATTCGATCACTTGTACCAAATGATTGATCGTTGTATTCAGTGCCTAGATGATCTCATCGATTTTTTTCTAGGATTGCGAGAGCAGATATCCCAAATCCACCTGTGCTGAGCGAACTGTATTTAGCGCAAGGACGGATGCGCTCGCTGCGCAGAAATTTTGGAACACATTTGAGGTTATTACAATATTTTAAGTGCCACAATTAGATGCTTGACTTAATGCCTGCGCACGACGCGTTGCGGAGATCGAAATGCTTATATAAGGCCAACGTTGCATCTTACTACTTTAGGTAATTTACTGACTGCACTTCATTGATGTCAATAAACAGGTTCTCATCGTACAGTCAGAATGCCTGCATCGCAGTACACCTCATACACGATACCTAACTCTGTGCTTATAGCCAACCTTAAGCTATCTAGGCATCCTGAAGGAGGTGAGACGCCGTAGCACAATATTAGAGTTGTCTCTGAATTCCTCAACGACACGTCTATTCGTTTGAAACTCTCTTGGCTCATATACGCTCTCCACATGACCTATACACGCTCATCGTCTGACTCTGCACAGGATACTATGCCGAGACAGATCGGCAGACAGAACAAGTCCATCTCCTTTCGCAGATAAGGCCCTACGCCCTCTGGCGACAAGCATCTACTATCTCCTGACTCCAGATGAGCAGAACGGTGTCTTCCACATGAACAAATCCGCGGTATGCTCTGCTGATTGTTTCAGGCGCACTTTGCCAACCCTTATATCTGCTAGACCATGCACGTCCATCACCAAGGCCGCGCGGAGTACATCTTAATCACTGCTGGAAACATCCCACGCGTCGAGCGCAAAGTACGTGTACCTATGAACCTCCTTATTTGTTGTAGGATATTGAGTTTAGTCCCTCTCAGGTTATCGGCCCAAACATCCACGCTGGGGAGGTCTTGCAACTCCTTGTTCCGTCTGGCGTCTGGAAGATGTCTCGTCTGCTTCCCGAAGACCTGGAGCAGGCATCTACGTGCGTCTCGCATTGTGCTTAGCTGCCCATAACATACAGACAGGACTAACGTTGCGTATGATAGGGAGGACGCGCGTGATCATACAGGTTGCCTGATCACAGAGGTCGTATTTCCCGGCTTTGCGTGGGAGGACCACTGCTTCCTCACGAAGGAGGAGCTGACGAAGATGTGGGGCGGTCTCCAGGGAGTGGAGGAGTGGCTTGGATACTTGAAACAATAAAGACGGATACGCGCCGACGGAGGTGAGTAAGTGGCGCCATTATATTAGATTGGCTCACTCACATTCATTTTTCCTGTTCTGCGAAGGGAAGCCCAAATCATCTACTGCGAGACGGATTAACCTGTCAATCGTCCACTCTACCACAGAATCCGCTGATGATGCAAAATGTATTTGTTCTCGAGGTCTTAGGTGATTTCCAGATTGCAGACGGGCGTGAATTGCCTCCATCGTTCGACTGTATGATGATAAAGTCCATGATAGCGCATACAAACCCCCTTCCTATTATCACTTGCGACAGAGGGAAATCAGCCGCCATATTTACATTTCCATCAGTTTTACCATGAGCTGTCACAGATCTGACGTTTTTATCGTGCTAACAGTCTGTCGGCTAGTGTTGCCCATCATTCCCACAAGTTTGTTTGTCCTGCCGGCGACCATTAAACACCACAAGTATATCCTGACGCCTTCGAAGAAATAACACTCTGCTTTGGTGTACTGCGTAAGCTTTACTTACTATCTTCCACTGGGTAACTATCCTCCCGTTTGGGTCATTGTGTGCGTGTGTGGACGCGCACCGAGGCTCGCATACACTCCTGTTCTCGTGCTATCGGTCGGCTATCTGATCATGTGAGGATAGCACGGCGTCGTCGCATCCCCAAGTGAAGCTGATGGAAGTTCTCTGCATCCGAAAGCCGACGTGCGCGCACGCTCCCGCTGCCGGTCTCTGTGCTTCACATGTCACTGCCCAGGGGACATGTTTCCCCCGCTGACCTGCACTCGCCCTCATGCAGAGGGTGCAGCGCGACCTTTCTGCCCACTCAGCTGTCAAGCTCTAGGCTTCAAGTCTCGGTCTACAACGCCCTTCTGCTTCCTCAGCGCTAAGAATTGTCGCGAACCCTGCCCTCTGCGACTCTCCGATATCCTACCGTTCCATTCTACGTAGGTCTTGCGAGTTTCGCGTAGCTATCACTCTTTTTCACTGCAGCTCGTCTCAACTCATCGCTCAGGAGCCCGTTTGTAGAGATTTCACCTCTAGGAGCGATTGGACCTTCTAGACACGCCCCGAGATGGGTCACGGGATTGAGATGGGTATACAGACACTGTTGATTGAAAATCACGAAACCTTTCATATGTTCCCGTGTTTCTGATGTTCTTAGCCACAGGATTGCTGATTACCGGAGCGGAACTGCGGCGGTACCTGACCGGCGGAAGGACAAGGACGTCTACATACCTATCAGGGCTTTGGGGCTATGTACCTAAGGACATATATAGTCCCGTGACTCTCTTAGCGCTGTTATAGACGAGATGCAGTGGCGATCGTGAGTCTCGGCATAGCCTCTGAGTGCTGCGAGCCGTAATAGTATCAGACATAAATGCATCACAATTTGAGCGCCTCGTAAGACACGAGATACATCACAACTGATAGTGATATCCTCTAATAGGTGGTTGGACATGACGGAGAACACTCCTTCAACCCGGTCCTTGGTAGCCGTAGGCAACACTTGTGGGCGCACTGATTGTATCCGACCCTGATAACTCGCCGGCCGCGGAGATACCGGTCAGAACTGATGAAAAAAGAATAGCAGCCCCACTTCTTAAGTCATGGTGTCACGGTGAGCAAGCGTGGACGGCACAATTTCCGGAAAAGGCACGTTGTGTGTCCGCGTGGGTCCCTCTCAACGCCACGTGCCAGCTGAGGTGAGCGACACTGAAATCACACAACGTGGGAACCGGGGTAGCGTCTTACTTACCGGGGGAGTCAGATATATCACCGGACACATGATAGAGCATAACCTGACCGTGTCGGCACCGCAGACTCCACGCAGTGTCAGGAAAGGACATCTGATATATTGTACGCGGCAAGTCAACATGGATGTCGGAAGGTTAAGTTTGCCTCGCTGGTGATAGTACTGAGGCTCAAGCTTGAAGCATCTGGAGCATCGGATGATACTCACAATGACCGGGGCACCTAGCGGAGGATCTCACGGTGTCGATCTGGAGAGTGAGGGTCCTGCCGTCTGCACGGTTTCGGCATGTCGTCTCCTGAAGACCGGTGATTGATTGCCGTGCTGTGTGAGGCTCTTGCCAATTATTGTGCGTGGGCGTGAATTACAAGAATAGCAGTGGTGCCGGGATCAGTTGTAGGTTCAGGATGGTCGTACCGTTTGCGTCATCATCACGGAGACAATTAGAGATCAGCAACTCTTACCTGCTAGACTACTTCAGCATCCGATTCGTTCCTCCCATCAGTCCTCCATGAGTGGTTGAAACAGTTGGGTCTGCTGGAATACGCTTGTCCATCGGGCCGGGTTGTGCTCGAGCGCTGGGCACTGAGAGCACTAGCACTAGCACAACAACGGAACCATAGGCGCCGTAGACCCGCAGATGTAGTTATAAATATTATAGATTGACAAGCGAGTCTTCTCTACCCCCGCCGAAGCATTTCACCATCCTCGCCAAGCGAATGAGTCTCACAGCACAAGAGGCTCTCCTCCTCTTGGACATCGACCGCGCGCTACAGCGAACAGACACGGGCAATTTTTACGACTTCACGGGCGTGTACCTGAGCACGAATGACCGCGGTCATCATATATATCCTCCTGGATGCAACCCTTCCTTCGGGGTAGCCCTTGCCACATTAGGGTATTTTGTAGCTGTCAAGGCTCGAAGCTTGGCTATCTGGGGTGTCTGCGAAACGTGAGTGCTCGTATTGGAGGTCACCGAAGAATGAGCCTCACCTTGCCCCACCGTTTCCATTAGACTCCCCGCCAACACACACGTCGACGTCGACGCAAGCCTCCGCGTGCCGATGGTTGATACATATGAGGACCTCGTTGGTGCTGCATACTTCCACAACGCCGCGCTGGTTGTATGTGTGGCATCTAGCATTGGGCGGTGGTGTTCGCTGACAATGCAGTTACAGAAGAAGGAAAAGGTCTTGGTCGTATGGGCAAATTCAGCGGATTATATTGCAGAAACCTTTCGATCGATCGAACATCGCCTTCGGCACTTTTCAAGGCTTTGTAGTTGCGGATGGACCACAGGCATGCTTGAGCGAGTACACGCATTAGAATCACACTCGGACTACGCCCCCGACCTTAGCGATGGCACTCAACCGGACTGGGCTTACTCGCTCCGGTCGGAGTGTTCTGATGTATCGCGCCCAGAGGACAAGAGCCTGTCAGATTTGACCTTAGTCATTGCGGAATTCGAAGAGACGTTCGTGGGGGGTAATATGTTCTCGGAGGTAGGCGCGTACTTTAATTTCCTTGTGCAACGGTTTCTTACAATCTACACAGAAAATTCAATCTCGCGTCGAGCACACGCACTCGCACTCTCCAATTTGTTCCGTCCTACCAGGTCTCGATCCGGGACGTGACACCCAGAAACTTCAGCTCGCTGCGAAAGGGAGCATAACACAAGATAAAGCAGCTGAAGCCTTTAACGCAGCTCATCCGAGTCTGCAGGAGCTGCCAATGAGCAGCATCAAGTCAAGCACGATACACGCTGAGCATCCAGGAAGCGAGAATGGACAGCCGCGTGAAGACAATACGCCAAAGGCAGCTGTCGATATGCATAGGAGAGAGAAGAGCTTGTCGCCTACACCCACCACGCGCAGGTCATTCCGACCTTCGCCGATACAACAACCTCACATTACCACCGCAATGTCGGCACTAGAAATTTCCACCCCTACGCTCAATCCGCCACCCGGGCGAAACATCACTCCAAATGACGGTGTCGCGCCCTCCTTCTCGTTTTCATTCAACGGAACAGAGCATGTTCCCCGTGCTACCACGTCCGGCTTACGCTTGATAAGCCGACCACCGGTAAGCACTGAGCACGGGAACACGTGTCAAAGATACAGCGACGAGAACAAAGGTGATATGGATGAGGTGATGAGCGGTAGTAGCCTTGGCGAGGAAGACGATGAAGATGATGGAGAGTACGACGACGACGACGACTATGTTGAAAGAGAGAAGGCGACGCAACAAAAGAGTAAAGAGCGACAAGGCCGGGCCGTCTCGGCCGCGACCTCTACTGAGCTGCGGACTGCTAGTACGTCATCCAAGGCTGAAAGCAGCACAGTAACCACCCCTGGCTGCAAGCGGAAGGCATCCGACAATGGAGACGAAGATTCAGGGAGAGACGGTGACGCGTCCAGCTCCCCTGGGCCGTCGAAAGGCCGTCCTAGGAAGAAGAGGCGTATGACTAGAAGGACGAGGCCGCGCCATCGCTGCGAACGCTGCAGGGCGACATTCGTGCGCTCAACTGATCGAAGGCGCCACAGTCAGACTGCCTGTCCAGCCGCGACCAACTTGCAGCCGCATGTCTGTTCTGTATGTGGGCATCGTCTCTCGCGGTACGACGCGCTGCAGCGTCACATGCGGACACGCCACAGAGGTTGGCAAGGTATTGACAGTGGCGATGAGGATTGGGATGACTGAGCGCCCACCAACGACAATCGTATGGAGTCAGGTGCTCAGGTCCTGAGGATCTTTATAAAGACCCTATCCTTTGTTCGTCAGAGTATTCTTCCGAAATCGAGTCACTTACATTATGCTGGTACTTGTACGATTGTGTATATCTGTGAAGCAATTCTCTCATTGGCATTCATTGACTGATCGTACACTTTGGCGACGTGTCCGTACCCGTAACTGCATCGCGAGCACGAGACGAGGAGTTGATGTAGGCAGAACAGTCGAAGGCTTTGTAAGGAGCGCATACAACAGGACCGATGTATTTGATGATCTAAGATAACGTTCAGGAAGACAGCTTGGTAAGAGAATAAGTAACGTCAGACGGCGAAGGCTTTAAACTGGTCGTCTCGGCAATTTCCGCGGTCGTGACGGCTCTAGTCGGCTTGATCCCAACTCTTTTAATTTACTGTAACTTGTGTACTGCCATGTTGTGCGCTCGAAACTTCCACTCTGGCCCCTGCTAAGTCACAATGTAAAGACTATATAAAATACAAAGGTACTTAGGTGATTCGAGGCAAAGACCGGTGCTAGAATGCAGTAGCAGTAGAACCTAGACGTGTACAGTGTGCGAGTCATCGTGCGACCGGGTTTGACGGACTGTCAATCATTGCGTAAAGCTGAGAAGTTATCGTAGTACATACTACAGGTGGTGACAGGTTGGCAATATAACACAGTCCAAAGGTAACAAAGGACGGCTCTGATTATCTCGGTTTCTGCATGAGCTGCACCTTGTGCCTTGGATTATCCAAATATAGAATAGAGAGGAGCTTATTTCTTGCACATAGCTGAGCTGGATATATAAGACATGCATCCTCGGACCAGTTCTGCGGCAGTAACCCCTTTTCCCTTTCCTTGTTTCCTCATACACCTTTTGCCCTGCATGCTGTTGAGTACTAAGTTGGACTACAAGTTCAAAAGCCCAAAGGTTCAAGCAGAGCCCTTCTGCTGTATCAAGAATGTGTTCCATTGAGCCTTTTCTCGACAAGTTGGACGTACCATTGGCAAGCCTGATGGCTACCAGCGGTGACGAACAGCCGGTGGGCATTGCCGTCGACGAATCATGCTGGAAGCCGGGCATAATTGTAAGCTCCCATCTCACCTGAATAGCGACAACGTTCATGTCTCCTTCGCCTCAGCGCATGTGCGCGGAGGCGGAGTCCATGGACACCGTGTCTCCCATGGACACGCTCCTCGACCCGTCTATTGCATACTGGGACAACGCATCGGTGTGTCATCTATCTCCATCCTCTCCTCGTTGATGCATAAGCGAACTTGTACCTCCACACCTCTGACGCCGCATCAGTACTCGCCTGCTTCACATGCGTCGGACTGCGACAGTCCTGTCATGGGCATGGATGTCGCCATCGACGCTAGCGATGCACATGGCATACTCCCGTGGCCGGGTTGCAAGAAGCTTCCCGCACAGCCTCAACGACACTCGTGAGTACGCATCACGTCTCCTGCGACATCTAGCCTGATATACACAATATATGTCAGAACAAATCAAACACCAGAGACAAGGAAGAACCAGCAGTTATTATCGCTACTCGTGAAGGCAACCACCGCAGCCTGCCTGTCTTACCTAATACCGCTATACGTGAGCGTGCAGCGCATATAGGGAAGCTATTATCTCACTCACTCTATGCATCACAGTGCGATGCCAGGAACCAAAGTACAAAAATCAGTCACCAGCGGATGGTCATACCGAATCTGCTGGTCAGTGTTCCCCGGCGACTCGACGAGCATCACAGCGGAAGCAGGCTACTCACGGAGCTAAGCGAGAGCCCCCTGAGGAGGATGACTACGTTGAACGTCCTCCTAAGAAGACAAATGCGCATCAAACAAGACTAATGTCAGATTGTATATAACGACGACAGGGTCGCCTTTGATGAATACATAATGCATTGGCTTACATAGATTCAAGGTTATACTGACGTTGCGCCTGAGCTATATTGATGAAGACAAGTCGAGATCGATGATGTAATTGTCTGAGACGAGCAAGCTGTCTCTTTCGGCCCGCCGCTATGGGTGTCTGCTGCTGCGACGTGCCAGGTGTAGCGCCCGTAGTGGACGAATCCGAGTTCTACCATACGAACACCAGTGAGTGCACGAAAAGGCAACGCGTTCTGTGAATTAACATCATCGACAAGTGACACAGCACGATATTATACCACTGGCACTGAAACGTGAACATACCTACTGTTTGCTATGCGCCGGATCGGTAGTAAACAAGCCTGTCTCAGACCAGTTCTCCCTCGGATTCACTCACAACCCTCGTACAGATAGAAGCAAAACGTTGAGGAACGTCCCTGAATGCCAACAGAAATTCACTTGTCTACATTGCTGTCAATATCGGAACGGATGTAGGGGCCTCACAACATCCGACAGAGCACGCCGAATCCTGTCCGAGTCGAATAGTTACGCGCGGTAGTCAAGGTCCACCTAGTATTGCCCGAGGGTTATCCTGGTCTAGGAATAGATCAATTCATCACAAGGTCGTTGAGCGCGGTCCTGACATCGAACATCGCGCAGATTTGCAATAGCTTGAGGTCGCTGGCATCTCTGAGTCGTGATTGCTTGAGCTATCTGATGCGTTCCGACTGCGTACAGTGTACTAACAGTCCTAGCACTATGTGATAAATCGGGAATCAGTACATGCTTCCGCAAATGCTTGGCTTGCAAGAAAGTCCTCGGGACAAATGAATCTCGTGTTGCGGAATGAAATATGATTGTCAAAGACAATTAAGAATCCCGAGTAGTCGCAATGGAGTATCTAAACGCATTAATCAATTCATCCTACGATAGGTCATATGTCCATGCTATATGCTATATTCCTTTGGTTATCGACGCGCTAAGTGAGATTAGCCTCATCCCATGACTGTATGGAACATCGATGATGTCAACAGAACTATGCGCTCGCAAGGGCAGAGTTGGCTCACCTTCGCTCTCTCGTTGAGGGTGATAATCGGGCGATTTCAACACCACTCTGAGCCGTTGAGCAATGATTTGAGGGACAGGACTGAGCGTACGTTCGCCCGCACCTTGTTCTACCTTCCACATCCACATCATACCTGCGAATGGATGTGTGTGGATAGAGAAGGAATACGTCATGGAACCAAAGCCAAGAGAGATGTAGCGAAGAGAGGGAACCTGTGCAATGACGAGAGACGCCAGCCGTTCTGCGTACTCCTGACTATTGTCGAGGTCGACGGGTTCCGCCGCCTCACTCACTACGCATGTGATAAATTGCGATAGGTCGCCATTGATAGCAATCTCGAGGTACGACAGCGACGTCATAGGCGAAAGAGTTGATGGGACATTAGTCTGTAGAATGAGCATTCTCAGTGGCGTATGCACATTGCCACGGAATGCTTACCATCCAATCCAGGAACAACGATGTAAGACCCTTCGTTTCTCTGAATAGACACAGCTCGACCTCGAGACACCGCAGTCTCGTCGCCTCGCGCGCAAGGCTCTTCCAGAACGAATCAAGTAAAGACTCGAAGGCCATGATGCGGAAAGTGAACACGATCGGTTCAGCATTGCGCACCATCTGCAGCACGATCGGTATTTCAGGATCGCCGCTGCGCGTGAGCCCACCCATCACCGACAGACTTGGAATTGCGAGTATGGATTGGATGAGAATGTGATACACAGGACGCGCGGTGGGCCAATTCTCCAAAAGGTGTCCGCTCCCCTCGACGTATTCGAGACCGGAGGTCCCTTGTAGCGGGACAGAATATGTTGGCCTGTCGAGAGCCGCAGTGTGCGGACTACCCCACTCTGTGAATGTTAGGGTGCGCAGATTGGGGAAGGCGCAGAGGACCGCAGGAAGATGGATTTCGCAACGTCCCAGGGTGAGGTCGGTAACTTTAGGCCATGAATGATGCAGGCTGCGCATGAAGTGCTCGGTGTCCATGCGAACCGGATAGTGTGGTGTATATAGACCATAGAGACTCAGCGCACGAAGTTCATGGAACCTCCCAATTCGGGAGATGATTGCGTCCTTATCCGCGTCCTGTGTCCGTACCTCCAGCATGAGGTTTCGCGGTTGGCTCCGCAACTCATCTAATAGCTTGAGAGCCTCGCATCCGTCGCATTGCAGCAGCTCCAGCTCAGCTATGTTGGTATGTGCATAAATAGCGTCAAGGAGTGGTGGATAAAACACTAAAAGGTCCTCAAGGGGAGAGATGTGGAGATGCCGGAGCCCACTTGCATGCTTGAAGAGTGACGTGAGCAGCCCCAAGGCTCTTAATGCTTCCTCCAGCTTCTGTGGACAATTGTGTTGGGTGAAAATGCCGCTTCCTTGGTACGGCAGCCCGACAGACACTGACAAGCGCCGGATCCACTGCAAGCGGCCGACCACATCGTCAAGCATATAGGTGCAGATGCGCATGACGGCTTGCATGGATTTCATCGTCACAGAAGACAATGCTTGACGTTTCGCGAGTAGATGGACCCGTCGCGCAACGAGAGAGAGCTGCAGGGAGTCCTTGGTGGTGACATCGGAAACGATGGTCGTAAGGACATCGTCGTTGAGATCCAGGAGCGTCGTCCTGTACTGTGGGGCAATTTGCACGGTGTTTAGTCGGAAGGGGCGGCTAGTAGCGTACTCCACTAACCTGTGTCGATTCGGAGACATTCGCGTTCTGCATCGCGGCGACTGCTTGTTGCTCACACTGATGTCAGAGTGCAGGACACACTGAGTAATTCACCAGGCCGTAGGAGTCATTTTCGGCAGGCCCCGAGTCCTGATGGTTGCCTGGCATGGCTCTCGTGCGTCCATTTTGACAGTTCGTGAGACGATAGAAATTAAGGTTGCGCGACCCCGGAAGTCAACTGGGAAGAATGCTTTGCCCGATATTGAAACAACATTGCCGAAACACGTGGTACTCGGCGAGCCCCGGAGCGCCTCCTTCCTAACCGGTGAGGTCATCTAAGTACTTTCAGACCAGTGATGTGCGAGTCAATGACTAGTCAATGACTTGCCATAGTCATTGACTATTGATGGGAAATGACTTGCATGACCGTGACTCTACCCACGGTCCGTTGACTTTACCCACGGTCTCGTGCCTTTGCCACTTTGGGTAACGGGCAGTGACCGCAGTGTCTGTACACCGCCAATTGGCGCTCGAGTGGTGTCCCGTCGTCGGGCTGTGTTTGACGACAATACGCGATATATAGATACATTTTAGTAATTCTGCACAATCATAAGCCATAAACATGCCTGTATATGATGTTAAAGCATGTGTAAGAGGGCCTGATAGCGGCACACATTATGGACAAGATTAAGCGCTGTTAGATACTATAGTGCAGAGTGCGCGGGATATAGTTATGTATCAAGTATTGTATCTAAAGTCTCGTCTATACTACTGAAATTAGTGTCGTCCTCCTCGCCTTCGGCATCCAGGTCTATCAGCTCATAGAACTCAAGCTCATCTTCGAGACTACGGTGTGCATTCCTCTCATACCTTTCCACCCAGCTACTCATTGTGAAGTCGAAAAGCTCTATGATACTGATTGAGATTTTACTTGGAAATCGCACCGGCTCTGCATCCTCGTCGTTACTGACCATTTGCGTGAACGAGTGCGCCATCTCACGGAGGTCTGCTGCAACAGTGTGATTTGTCGTCGCGTTATCATCGGGATCTGCAGGTGTGTGTGCATCTACTGAAGCAATGTCGCTGATCGCCTGGAAAGATGTCGCTGAATTCATGGGCTGCTCAGTAACTGGGTTGGGTCCCTCGCGTCCAAACTTCCTCTTCAGACATGCCTTAGCATTCTGGGCACGATGTTCGTCTCGGATGTGCATCTTGAGCTCTGCAAGCGATATGAGAGTCTCGGTACGCATGCGATTACGAAGCTTGGTGAGGATTGTGCCAAAAATGCTGAATAGGCGTTCACATGAGGCGGAGTTTGCGCAGATAGACAGTATGCGCCTTGCAAGAACATGCACTGGTGGGGGATTTGGATCATTGGTGTGCGACATGCCTTGATAAACGGAAAGTGGATCGGGGCTCTGATTCTGAAGGATGGTTAATGAGTAGCATTCATTTAGAAGTGAAACATATCAACTTCATACCTGAGAATGCGCATGCAGTTCAACTGTATCACAAAAGGATTCCAGATCGTCGAAGTCCCCTTTATTGTTGAGGTAGTCTTGAATGTTGGTCAATAGCAAGATTGGGGCAGTAGTGGAAAAGAAACGAGTCCACAGTCGTGAAAAAAGCATGTGAATACCAGCGACTGTGGTGAATCTCTGGTGATGGAAAGGGGTTGTTTTCAAGAATGGATTAAGGATTACGGCAGCGATGAAAACCTTCTGATCAGCCTTGCTCCAGCGCTTCTCAATACTATTGAGTATTGCACAGATTTCCGGAGAGCTCGCATCAGGGAGCACCTTGTATCTCATTGTTAAAGAGCCAAATGTCAGCAATACCTCGTCGAGACGACAGAATGCTGTTTGTGTCACGAGTTGGTACGGTGTCTAGCCGTTTTTTAATTTTTTCCTTTTCGCGGGCTTGAACCCGCGACCTCTGTACTACATACCTGATATGGACGCGTCGCTATCTACTGTACGATTAGATTAGATGGGGTGGTGATGCGATCTACGAAACCCTAACCCCTAACCTGGGTACGACCTAGGTGGACTAGAGGCGGGTTATTATCTTAGTGAGAGGGGAGTTAGCAGCAAGGTGTCCCGCGGTTCGAGTGAACACGAGAAACGCCCTCGGAAAAGGCTACGAACGCTAGGGAAGGTACGAGGTGGCTCGACACGTCGTCGAAGCTACTCGGAGGCTGTGGGTGGTTAGTGGAGACGATCGAAGCTCGGCAGAGCTCTTCGATGTATCGTAGAGGGAAGAGACACGATTCGATAGGGTGGACTTAGCTAGGACGCGGTTTGAGGTGCAACGCAGTTCTTCGACAATAGCTGAAGTCGAAAGGTTCGTCGAGACGGTATCGACGAGTAAACGCAGTAGACGAGGTTTCGAGGTTACGCAGCGAGGAACGAAGTGACGCAGTTGAGGGCTTAGACGCAGGGTGAACTCGACTTATGAGCTCTGAACTCGAGGGGGGGACCGGATCTTGTATTTTTGGAGAGAAGTACGACAAGTTTTATACTACGCATAGGACGCTACGACTATCGAGAGTGGCACACTAGTACAAGGGGCTTTGCATTGTCCCGCACGAAGCTGCCTCACCGAGTGGCACGTATCAAGTCCATCGGTAGAGTGACGTCATGCCGAACGCGGAGATGAAGAGAAACATATGGACACTTCGGACCGGTATCCGTCGTTGAAGGCATGCCGCGAGGTTTGATACCTAATCGGGAAAGACCGGCTACGTCGGTGTGGCACGGAGCGATGCGCGCGCTTGGACGAGCGGCATCAAGTGGCCCTATTGTCCGCCGAATGCGGGAGATGTCCCGAGATCTACGCGCGAGGCATCGGAACGACCGTGCTGAGCTTCGAGTAAGCGTCGCGCACCGTCGAAGATGTTGAAGAGCGTCGAAGGCGAAATCAAAGTGTTGGGTGACTGAGTCGAAGTGCCGGGCAGGATGCGACTGCCGAAAAGAGGTGTATCGGGGCCCAGAGGGGCTTGGCGCCTATCAGCGGCAGTGCGCGGCACAGCTCGGGCTCCGCTGACACAGCCTCTCTGACTCACCAGCCCCCGGGGCCGCGTCAGCATGCTGCGCACGGACCAGCTGTGCACGGACCAGTGCGCACAGCCTGCCCTAAACTTCCCCTGTATATAAGCCGGCCTCTGCTGCCCTAGGGACCTCAGTTTTGACCTCTTGTCCCTAGGTCAGTAAGCCCTCCCTTGTATTTCTTTCTTACCTCACTAACTAATACATTTACTTGTCCCTAGCCTTAGGTTTGAGCCTCGCTCACCATCGCTTCGGTAAGACAAGTCGAACACCCCCAGCTTTAGGTTTTCCCCTGTCGCTTGACCCTAAGTCGCGACATTAGGTCGAAACTCCCCAACACTGCCGGCGTTCCAAAACAAACACACTCACTTCCCTCTCCCATAGGTCGGGTGGTGTGCACCCTTACTGTACCCTACGATACGTAGATAGCCTACAATACATCGCCAACACTTGAGAGACGAACTCTTCAGTACCTGCACTTCAGTGGGCGGTACTTGTCCTCACGGACGCATAGCTTTGGTTCCTGCTGCATACTAGCCAAAAGCAGTATTGGGCCCTACGTGAACTGCGAATCTCAGTGTCATCTTGGGCGCCATAGGTGTAAGCTAGTTCACAACAGCCTTTCGTAGTACGCGCACCTCCTCGTCCTCCCCCCATCCAACGTGGCTGCCTGCCAAGGCCTCGTCCACGCCTTCGATTCTCAGGACCTCGTTGACATCTACATCCCAGACGGCCCTGACGCCCTTATCCTCACCTGCGAGCAGCAGCCGTGCCCAAATCGGACACCTCGATCAATCAACCAGGACTATTCGCACTACAAAGTGATCCGAAGGGCGCAACATCCGCTCGGTCCTCGAAGCACCCTCGCATCTCGATCCGCCTCGCGGCATTCTCGCCCTGTCTCTCCCAGCTCCTGTCTTCCCCGACCGGTCGCCGGTCCAAGTCAAGCGCGAGGAGATATCCCTCCAGACCCTGCGCCAGAGCAAGAGCCTGAGGAGAGTGCGAGTGAAGAAGGAGTCTCGGAGCCCGAGCCCACGGATCCTGCTCGGCCCGCCTCGCCAACAGCGCTCGCCCCCGCGTCAGCAGTCCCTGACGTACGTAACCCCACCCCCGGGCTTCCTCCCGCGCCTTCACCGCCGTCTCCGCCGCGAGGCCACTTGCGCACTCGCTCCCCTCGAAGTCCGACCAGCGGAGGGCCACCACAGCCGCCTCCGCCCCTGCGCCGTCCTCCGTCCCCCCCAGCGCCGATAATGTCGTCTCCCTCGACCGCCCCCGACAAGGAGACCCTGAAGCTTCTCCTTCCCCTCCGGTATGACGGCAAAACCGTCATCGAGTGCGACAGGTTCCTGTCGCAGCTGCGCATCTACTGGCTGGTCAACACGTCGTTGACCACCATTGAACTCAAGGTGCAGGTTGCACTGAGCCTGCTCGACGGTGACGCCCGCACCTGGGCCACTCCATACTTCGCCCAACTCGTATCCGTGCAACTCGGTGTTCAGGGAGTGACGACCCCCTTCGCAAATGAGGCGACCTTTGCCACAACTTTCAAAGCCCGCTTCGGCAACCTCGACGATGAGGCAGCGGCCCAGGTAGAGCTGGCCAAACTCTGCGTGGACAAGTCGGTCCGCGAAAAACGCACTGCGGCGGAGTTCTCCGCGCTGTTCAAGGGTCCGGCGGACCGCTCCGGGTATGGGGACCTGGAGTTACGCGACAAGTACCTGAGCGGCATCCCCTCCCGCGTCTACCACAAAATCGAGCTCGAGATGTTCACCACGTGGGAAGACGCTGACAAGCACGCCACGGAGGTCGAACAGATCCTCGACATCAGCCGGGCCCGTCGGCCTGAGTTGAACAATTTCTTCTCGGCTCGAGGTCGAGGACGCGGCGGAGCACGTGGTGGTGCGCCCCAGTCGCACGAAGCTTCGGCCAGCATCAATGCGGCCGTCGTAAAAGGCAACTTCCCCGGCAATTGTTATGGCTGTGGGAAGCAAGGGTACCGACGTTTCGAGTGCCCCAATTGTAAGGACAAACCTTACACGAAACGCACTGACACGCGGGCTACGGTTGCCTCAGGTTCCACCCAGGTTGCGACAAGCGCCCCCGTCGCTTCATCCTCAGCGAGTACAAGTGCCGCTTCAGCGAAATCGGAAGGTTCCAAGCTGGCGGACTTGGTAGCACAGATGAAGTCGATGCGCGAAGAGCTCGAGCACTATCGGGCGATGAAGGAGGAGGGTTTTTGATCCGGTCCGCGCTTCGTGCCGCACGCGTCGGGCCGCATATATCCTGTAACAAGTATGATGTATTGTCGACTGCAATGGTGTATGAGTTGGACCAGGGGTCCCAACATTTTCACATTCCAGTCAGACTCCAAGGGAAGAGACGGCACAAAGACATAATCGCCATGGTGGACAGCGGAGCCACCACGAAATTTATCAACAAACGATTCATCATAGAGAATAAGGTGCAGACGCGGAGGCTAAAGGAGCCTATTCCGCTCTATAATATCGACGGCACCCTAAATAAGGACGGAAGCATCTCGGAAGTAGCCGTGTTACAGATGCAGATAGGAGAGCACGTCGAGAAGACGGTGTTTACGGTCACGGACATTGGTCCGGAGGATGTGATTGTTGGGTTAGATTGGCTACGCGAGCACAACCCCGAAATCAACTGGGAGGAAGGCTCCCTAAAGTTATCCCGATGCCCTGAAACGTGCAGTGCCAGGAGGACTGGCCGGATGGAGCAAGCAGCGACTGCGTGTGATACGGGGGTCAGGCCCACGGCACGCAGGCGTTCGCCGAAGTCCAGACGGTCGGTTATAGGCACCTGCCGGAGTAAGGTGCTGCCGGACTTCGAACCCGAAGAAGATCCGGTAGAAGTCAAGTGGAATGAAGCCGACTTGATCGAGGCCTGGGAGCAAGGTATTACGCTTCCTGGTGCCCCTCAGCTGTTCGTCGCAGCCGGGCATACGTACTCCCAGCTGTTCGCTGAAGAAGAGATCAAGAAGAAGGTCGTTAAGACCGCCGAGGAGTCGGTACCTAAACAGTACCACGAGTTCCTGAATGTCTTCTCCAAGGAAGCATCAGAACGGCTACCCAAAAGGAAGCCTTATGATCACGCGATCGAACTTGTGCCCGGTTACTCGACATTCCATTCGAAAGTGTACCCCCTGTCGAACAATGAGCAAGAGGAGCTTGACAAGTTCCTAAAGGAACAACTAGCGAAGGGTTACATATGGGAATCGAAGTCACCTATCTCGTCCCCCTTCTTCTTCATCAAAAAGAAGGAAGGGACGCTTCGACCCGTGCAGGACTACCATCAGTTGAACGCAATCACGGTTAAAAATCGCTACCCCTTGCCGCTGATCGCCGAAATGGTAGACAAACTCCGCAGCGCTACACTGTTCACGAAGTTCGACGTCCGATGGGGGTACAACAACGTCCGGATCAAAGCCGGTGATGAATGGAAGGCGGCCTTCGTAACTAACCGGGGTCTGTACGAACCCCTGGTGATGTTCTTCGGCCTCACCAACTCCCCCGCAACTTTCCAGGCGATGATGAACGAGATCTTCCACGATCTCATTGTCGGTGGCAAAATCCTCGTGTACCTGGACGATATACTCATCTTCTCTACCCACAAAGAGGAGCATGAGAAGGTTACGCACGAGGTCCTCCAACGCCTGCAGGACAACGATCTGTTCCTGAAGCCTGAAAAGTGTGAATGGGATGTTTCCAAAGTCGACTATGTCGGCTATGTGTTCGGTGGCGATGAGGTAGCGATGGATCCCGCGAAGCTGAAAGGAATTAATGAGTGGCCAGTACCCCGGAACAAAAAGGATGTTCAGAAGTTCCGGGGGTTTTCCAATTTCTACCGCCGCTTCATTAAGGACTTCGCCAAGATCTCGAGACCACTCGACCGACTCACAGGGAACAATCCATGGCATTGGGGCGAGGAAGAGCAGCATGCCTTCGATGAGCTCAAGTGGCTCTTTGCCACAACCCCGGTCTTGGCGCTGTATGACCCAAATCGAGAAACGTGCATTGAGGTTGACGCCTCAGGCTACACCACTGGCGGCGTATTGATGCAGAAGCAGGACAACGGCAAATGGCATCCTATCGCCTTCCGGTCTCACGCTATGGACCCTGCCCAGCGTAACTACGAGATCTACGATAAGGAGATGCTTGCGATCATCGAGGCATTGGAAGATTGGCGCCACTACCTCGAGGGATTACCCAACCAGTTCGAGATTGTAACCGATCACAAGAACCTCGAGTACTGGCGCACATCACAGCACCTCACGCGTCGTCAAGCGCGATGGTCACTGTTCCTGGCTCGCTTCGACTTCCGCATCACGCATAAGGCTGGAACATCGAATGGAAAGGCTGATGCCCTGTCACGCCGATCAGATCATCAGGTCGGCGATGAGGACGATAACACCGATCAGGTGGTTCTCAAACCGGAGAGATTCCGCATCGCCTCCACTAGGCGCGGTCATGCCTCGGTGACGGCTGATCAGTCGCTTCTGAAGCGCATCAGGGAGTGTTCGGATAAGGATCGGGTTGTGGCCGAGGCACTTGAAAAGGTGCAGAACCTCGGACCGCCTAGGCTGCAGAAAGGCTTTGAGGAGTGGAATGCTGAGCAGGGGCTTCTGCTGTTCCGCAGGATGGTCTATGTCCCAAAGAACGCGGAGCTCCGGCGGGACATTGTCAAAATCCACCACGACTCGCCGATTGCCGGTCATGGTGGTCGTGCCAAAACCCTCGAGCTCGTATCGCGAAACTACTGGTGGCCAGGAATGTCCAAATTCGTCAATGAGTACGTAAGCACCTGTGACGTGTGCAACCGTACAAAGACATTCCCTGCTAAGCCCCAGGGTCCGCTGAAGCCTAACGAGATCCCCGAGCGCCCGTGGCAGATCATCACCACCGATATGATCGTCGGTTTGCCGAAGTCTGATGGATTCGACTCGATCCTGGTTACCGCCGACCGCTTCACCAAGCAGGTCCACTTCTCGGCCTGTCATGAGACCCTGACGGCAGAAGGTGCGGCAGACCTGTACATCCGCGATGTGTTCAAACATCATGGGGCCCCAGCCAAGGTCATATTAGACCGAGGTCCCCAGTTCGCTTCGAAATACCTCCATGCGGTGTACAAGGGACTAGGGATCGAGCCGGCGCTGTCTACAGTGTTCCACCCCCAGACAGATGGCCAGACTGAGCGCTGGAATCAGGAGATCGAGCAGTACCTGCGTGCGTTCACAAGCCACAGGCAGGATGATTGGGCGAAGCAGTTGCCGCTCGCGGAGTTTGCACTGAACAACCGAGTTCACTCCGCGACCGGGCACTCCCCCTTCTTCCTGCATCAGGGGTACCATCCTGAGATCCAAGTGCGGATCAACCCGATGTCTGCGATGCCTGCGGCCACTGATCGGCTCAAGATCCTGAAGGAGATCCGGGACGACACACGCTCTGCGCTTGAGCTGTCAGCCGAGCGCATGAAGGTGTACTACGACAAACACGTGCAGAAGGCACCGGTCTTCGCGCCGGGGGACAAGGTCTGGCTTGACGCTCGGAACCTTAAGCTGAAACAGCCGAGCAAGAAGCTCAGTCCCAAGCGCCTCGGACCATATGCCGTGCGGCGAAAGCTCGGAGACTTGAATTATGAATTAATCCTGCCGAAGTCAGTGCCTGTGCACCCGGTGTTCCATGTCTCCTTGCTTAGCAAGTATGCACGTAGCGAGATCCCAGGCCGAAAGCCGGAGGAGCCGCCTGCCATTGAGGTCAAGGGCAATGAAGAGTATGAGGTTGAGCGGATCAAAGATTCGAGGATCTTCCGGCGTCAGCTACAGTACCTCGTCAAGTGGAAGGGTTATGACGACTCACACACGTCATGGGAACCGGCGCGCAACGTTGCCAATGCGCCGGCCCTCATAGCCGACTTCCACCGGAAGAATCCGAACACCCCTCGCCGCCTCAATGCCGCTACATTTGGTGGTCTCAACTTTCAGCCAATGCCTTCGCCGCTGACTGAAGCACGCTGCCGCTCCGGATGGGAGATGGGCAAGGGCGCCTCGCATGAGGTCATGCGCCGTTGAGGGGGGGGTAATGTCACGAGTTGGTACGGCGTCTAGCCGTTTTTTAATTTTTCCCTTTCGTGGGCTCGAACCCGCGACCTCTGCACTATACGCTCGAACGAACAAGTCCTTATCTACTGTACGATTAGATTAGATGGGGCGGCAGTGCGCGGCACAGCTCGGGCTCCGCTGACACAGCCTCTCTGACTCACCGGCCCCCGGGGCTGCGTCAGCATGCCGTGCACGGACCAGCTGTGCACGGACCAGTGCGCACAGCCTGCCCTCATCTCCCCCTGTATATAAGCCGGCCTCTGCTGCCCTAGGGACCTCAGTTTCGACCTCTTGTCCCTAGGTCAGTAAGCATCCTTTGTATTTCTTTTCTTACCTCACTAATATATTATCTTGTCCCTAGCCTTAGGTTTGAGCCTCGCTCACCATCGCTTCAGTAAGACAAGTCGAACGCCCCCAGCTTTAGGTTTTCCCCTGTCGCTTGACCCTAAGTCGCAACAGTTTGTGTGATGTTCGCAGCAACTGCAAGAGGCTCGAGGTGATTTTTAATACTGTTTGATATGGTTTGAGTATGTTATTCATATTGTACAAGGGAATACAATACTATACCGTGCTAAAGATTGCCAGAAAATAGGACTTGAGATCGTTTTGATGTGCTTGCAGGCTGTATTCCTTGCCTGAACAGTTGCTGAATATGGTACAAGTTGCTGATCCCTCTCGTTACGTTGTTGATCTCGCCTTTCGAGAAGATCGAGTGTCGGTTGAAGTTGCAGGAGCCGGCAGAAGGCAAGGTAGTGTGCCGTCCAGCGACTGAAAACAGCACGGATCACTGTCAGTGGTTGTTTACCTGCAGCAACCATTTCATCTTGCATTAAAGCAAGAACATATGTTTTGCTTTGTAACCAGGTGATGAGCTCGCACGCTTTTTCTGCATAGCAGAGAAATGTGGAGACTTCTACTCTTATGTAATCTCCGACACAAAGATTGATCTAGTTTACATTATTCTAGCAATGCCTATGTAGTAAAAATATGACTTACCTGGTGGCCATAGCAATCCGGAGTGACAAGCTTCGGGTATCTTGCGACCAGCATTGCGCGAGCTTTGCGGGACTCACCCGACGCATCTGTTGTAAAAGCAACAACCTCCACGTGCCATTTGGTTTCAAGTTCTTGAATGACGTCCTCCATCAAGCGCAGCAAACTTTCGGCTGTTTTTCTCTCATTTGATGCATCGTGCACCCGAACAGTATGCACCTATATATGGTAAGTACACATTTGAAGATTCTTATATTGAACTCACTTTTCGATCTGCTGTGATCATGAAAGCAATGAAGTGATGGAAGTTCTCAGCTGTCCAGCCATCACATTGAACTGTGGCAGCATGCCCATCTGCGCTCTTCTTGGCCTGTGCACGAAGGACTGAGAGTGTCTGGGGAAGTAGGCGCTGTGTGAGAACCTTTCGTGACGGAGCCTTTGCCCCTGGTATGAACTTGTCAAGGAAGGCAAGGAACTCCGGGTTTTCCACCCAAGTGAGTGGTAGTCCCGCAGAAGCTGTAAGGCGAATAAGGCGATCCTCAAGCTGCTTCTGTTTGCTATCATCCCACATTGTCTCCGGTGATAGATATGTTTGCAAGGCTGAACGACGGGATTGTGAGTGTCATGGATGCTTGCCAAATTCATTTGTTGCATATGAAGCAAGACTTGGCGAGTCTGATGGAGAAGGGGATGGATGAAAGGGATGCTTTATGGGGATGTTAAGAGGTGATGGAGGAATAGACCTTGGCTGGCTAGCGAGCAAACTCAGAAGAGTTGAAGGACCTGCCACCTAAGTCAGAAGCAGCATAGTGAATGGCATTAGTGCAAGTATTGGTATGTAATTGACTACAAGACATACCTGATGGCCCACAAAATCGGAAAATTGTGGACCCCACTCCATCGTGCTATGACTAGGTTGTGGTGTGCTATACGAATAAGTCATTGCGGGAGCTGTGATTCGTGCCTGAGGTCCCGCTGGAGGAAGTTCTTGAGCAGCTCGTGCAGAGATCTCCCTTGGCTGTAATAAGCAGTTGCGTAGGTGGTTGAGCAATGTGTGTGTTGCAGCGCGTAGCCATCCTCGGTTCGGGTCGTTGGCATCATGAGCCCATACTAGAACTATGTTAGTATGCTTCAGAGCATCAATTTGGGTTAATCAGATGTACACATGTTGACAATCAATGGCTCATCCCGTAGTGCTGCCCGTACGCCAAAGGCAACCTGCTGTGTGTCGAGCCTTTTCTCTTCTTCTACTCGAATAGCATAGCACAGTTTGCACCATACCTTCGCCTTGTTGGCGACATTGTTGTTATTATATGCAGTGGGGTCTTTCTGCTGTAGTAATGGGTGGTCCATAAAAGAATGCGCGATACCATTTGCGATTCGCTGAGGAGCGCGACATTGGGGCAGCAAGGGGGGATTAAGGCAAATGTGGTGTATAGATTCATTGAAACAACTATAAATACACAAGGTAGCTAGGCTAGGGGCGACATTTCTTGGCACATGAGCATTGTGCGAGGCAGACAGAATATGAGATCCATGAGCTCACTGCCTGTACTAAATGAAAGCTTAAGTATCATGAGGCATGGGCACCAGGCATGCAGCATAACGATCTTCCGACAATACCACAAAAGGAAGTGTGACCTCGACCACCACTGTGCCCGAGGACCCTGGGCTTACCTCGGAGTCATGACTGTCCCAGGGTCATTGACGGTCAATTGCAAGTCAACGATCAATGACTATGACCATTGACCACGGTCATTGACCGCACACCACTGTTTCAGACTACATAGCCGATGCATGAGATTAGTTTGACCAAATGATACATGAGTGAATAAAAAGTAAGTATCCATAGATCGGGAATAGACATGCTGCATGGGCTAATGCTAAAAACCTTATCTCGATCATTGATCTGATGTGTCAGCAGCTCTCCAGCTTTTGCACGGTTGTTTCGCAGAGTCCCACTAGTTGATTCCCTAAAACCCAATGTAGTGCATCATGCGTCGCAGACGTCCAGTAACAATGGTCATAATAATGTGCCTAGATTGTCTCAACACAAATTTGCGAGACCAGCTTAGGCACGCAATTACATCTTGAAGAAATCGACCCGGAGCAACACGCAGAGCCGGAATACATGGGCACTGTACGTCATCTGGATATCCCACGACCAGTACGTCGACATCCTAATGCTGTATCGATGTCTGACGACCTGGATCGCAAGCCACGAGTACTGTCACATCCAGCCTGATGTTTTGCGATACTTTCGTGTTTATAGTAGAATGAGACTTAGATGTGAAACACGTAGTGGATGTTCACTACATGCTCTACATGTAAGTCTGTATAAGCGATGATCTGAGCCATTTGTTCACACTGTAAGAATCATGTCCGATGTGACACTTTGCGAAGAATATAGGCTAATAATATAATGGTTGGACGAAATTGAACCATTGGCATGAAACATCTTTTCGATCTTACATCCCTCATCCTGAGATACACGTGGATATAAGTACCAGAGACCCTCAGGTAGACTGTGAATATCAGCCGATAGTCGATTGTTCAGGCAAGCGTGTCCGATGCCAGCATCTAGAGCCTCAGGGTGGAAAAACGGCTGTATGTGGAGAGCGCAGGTAGATATTACAAGCCGATGGTGCTACGTACGAATCTGCGAGTGAAGACACTGGTCCCACGGCCGGCCCTTTTGGGAACAATGAAATCGATATATTGGGATATCAGGATCGTCATCAACCATGATTATGCGAGTCCGCCGCCGCTTCTCGCTCGTCGCTCTGTCAAGCAGCGCCAGTAGAACTGTTCAGATACTATTTACGAACCTTGGACTTGTAATCATACGCTGCTGAGAGGTTTGCGGCTCGAGAACAAGGAATCCTGCCGTGGAAGCGTGGGCCGTCAGTTCCAACTCCGATGATGCACGAACAATGGACGTGCATAGTCCACGCGGCTTACCGACTTCCTGACGCTGGCTCCGGGTGTATCCGCCAGGCCATAGTGCCCTGGATCTCTTGAGAGCGATTCGCTGGGGGTGCCGTCGTGGATTTACAGAACACCATTCGTCAGACAAGACCTGTAGTCTGCTACGGTGAATTATGTAGTGGTTCAAATAAACAATGGTTACTCGTCGGCGAGAGGGACGGACCATGGCGTGTGCTGCGAATACGGGCATTCAACATTTTCGGAAGCATATCACGGTCAGATGCCTACCAAGAGCATTGTCCTTATCTGTGCAGGATTACGCTTCTCATCCGCGAACCGCGCGATGCCGACAGGACATTGCCGATTCAAGGTCAGCAACTACCGCTGTGCCCTCGACCACCGCCCTGGAAAGGCCAAC